TTCATCACGTGCCTGAGCGGGTCTGGGACCCTAGTAGCAGAAGTGGTGCTGCTGTAATGCGCTGAGCCGCCCCTCGGGGGCTCGCGCGATGGTCAGGGGGATGTCGTCCGCGAGCGTGGTCGATGGTTCTAGGCGCGCTCCCTGCTGCCGGCCTACCTCGTACTCTTCGCTCTCTCGCATGACTTTTATCTAACCCTCTCCTGCTTTCACCTTGCTGCTGACGTCCGGACTCCTGTTGACTTCNCGGGAGCTATCTTGTTCTTCGTTCCTGGCGTCCTCCGCTGCTTGGCGGGCCTCCGCTGCTCGGCGGGCTTCCGCTGCTTGGCGGGCTTCATCTTCGCGCCTGGTAGCCATCTTGACCCTGCTCTTGATCGCCGCAAAGCGATAGTCCTAAACCAAGCTCGACCGCGAATCTCGTAGACGACGTGTCATACGCTAGCGGGTTCGATGGTTCGGGTGGCTCAGTTGTATGTGATGGGAGTGTAGAGCAGCTCGGCCATGACGGGCCGTAGGGGTAGGTGAAGTCGTGCAGACGTGTTGGAAAACGTGTTGTATCCGTGTTGTTTTCATTGGGGGCGTGCTTGAGCTCGTCATTCCATCACGGCATCAAGTCACGCATAACGCTAAAGACGTCCAAGACGTCCAAGACGTCCTCGATCTGTTCCTTGAACTCGTCGTATCCCCAGTATCCATCCTTGTTCTTCCCGTGCTGGAGAAACCGCAGGTCAGGGCTTCGTGTCAGGTCTTCCTTGCCCTTCTCCTTGCGACGCGCGTTCACCGCCTGGAGCACGTCGTCCGTCAAAGGCAAGCCAAAGCCGTGCCTCTCGTCTTGAAAGGCAGATACCATCTCTCCCGGGCCCTCGTTTCTTTTCCGTATCCCGCGTACCCCTTGGAGAACCCACTCCTTGCCCTCGCGCGCATACACCTTGTAGACACTCTCGTCCTGTCCGATGTGGCGCACCTTCCTGTTGCATTTGCACTTCGCCGGGGTGTGAAAATGCTCGCATGGAAGAGCAGCAGCTTCTTCGAAGCGGACGCTGTAGTGCCCGCCTTCCGGTCCATGTTCAGCACGGAGAGCGTCGAATCGATCGACGGAGCCGTTGTCCCGCAGGAGATCGACGTGGAAATCGATGCACTCGCGCCCCTCTACCACGCATCGTAAACCTCTGCGCAGAAATCCTCCGCCGGACCTTTGATGCCGTCAAGCCGCTGAAGCTCCTCCGGTGTCAGAGTGTCTCGTTGAACTCGCACCCACAACGGTTGCCGAAGGGCGAGCTTCCGCTTCACGTCGATGTACTTGCCGCGGTACACCACCACGACCTTCTCCTCGTGGCCGTCCGTGTAGAAAGACTTCGTAGCCTGCTCGTACTTGCACCCCAGCGCGATCATCCAGGAGTGGGTTGTGGACATGGACACGGGAAGGTTCACCTGGTACGAAAGGAGTGTTGATAAATCCCCGATCTCGCTCGCGAAGAGCCACTGGTTGATGTAGTTCTGGACGTCCTTGACCGTAAGGCGCTTCTGTGTCCTCATCCACTTGATGAGCTCATCCTTGAGGTCCTCTTCCGACATGATCCAGTCCCTCCTGTGCACCCCCCTTGAATCTCGCTTGAAACCACCGTGCCCCCGAAAGTCCCTGAGTTACCCCAGGATTGTCGATGCCGCGTAAACCCGCGAGCCAGCGGAGTTTACTCTCGCCGCGATCCGCAAGAGCGACGACTCGTGTCGACGACGCGAGGCCTCGTTCAACAGCTCAAACCGTTTGGCCTCTGCTGCCTTCACCGCTGGGATCGTCGTGTACGACTCATCCGACAAGCGCTTCGCCTGCTGCGTGAGTTCCAGTTGCCGAAGGTCGCGCTTCCGCTCCTACTTCAACACCGTCAATGCCGAGTGCCCTTGATACCACAAGCGGTTTGCTTGGGTGGCGGACACTTCCTCCTTGTACTGGTTGTCCTCGCCCTCGGTACACGCCCGTGCGTCCACGTCTGCATTTCCTTCGATGGGCGAGGGGGGGAGAGGGGCGAGAAGACTCGCGAGGTCTTGCTCCGCCATAGCTTCCTCAATACGCCGAATGTGCTGCTCGTTGCTCTCGATCTGCGATGTCAGCTCGTAGATCCGGTTGCCGAGATAGGAGCCCCGCTTGTCGAAGTCCCGTCGAAGCTTTCCTTCCCTCTTGCTCCTGCCCCGCGCCACCGAACGCCTCTCGCGCCTGGAAAGCGCCGACTCTAGCGTGAAGCTTGCGCGGGTCGCGTCCGAACCGCCCAGCCGCTGTCGCTTGAACTTCCTTTCCTCCACGGTGTTTAGCTTGCCGAGGCTGTTGCGCGATTTTGTGTGAAATTGGGATTTCGGGTGGAGGCGTCAGCTCGTGTGAAACATTTTCATACGACAGCAGCAGCGAAGTTTGGCAGGAAAAGATCACTGAAAAGCACAGCTAGCTCTATCTGATCCCGCCCCGGTATATGTTGATGTGTATTGGCAGTACAGCCGGTAATTTTTTTAAGGTAAAGGAAGATGAAGTAACATGCGGCGCAGGTGCATGGATGTTTGGATCAGTTAAAGGGGATCGCGAGCACAGGTGTCGACTGTACTTGTATTCGTGCAGGGAGTGTTTTTGGCCCGCAGCAGGGCACCACTGCAGCAGAGTATATGCAGAACGCACACGAAGATAAAGTACTAAAACAAAACCATATCTACTGCTGTAGTATCGCCTGGGTCCGGTACTGTCAATATGTGATGATGGCGACCCACGTGTATGTGGAAATTTGGTCGACTACACTTACTTGTGAGAGCGCCTACAGGGGCTTTGTGTTCGTGCAGGGAGTGTGATCGGCCCGCAGCAACGCATCACGGCAGCAGTATATGCAGAGAATACACAGGATGAATTACTAAAAAAAAATGCTGTAGTGTTGCCTGGGTCCGGTACTGTCAATATGTGATGGTCGCGAAGCACGTGCATGTGGAAATTTGGTCGACTGATTACACTTATGACGAGCATCTGTAAGGCCACACAGGGAGCTGCGCCCGCACAGCAGTAGGCATCGAGGATAGGCAGCAGTTGAGGAGTGCATAAAGGTGTGAATGGTGCGTTCAAACAGCGCTTGTAGCACCGGTGAGTACAACATGGGGACCGGCAAGCCAGCACATGACACGCGCGGTCTTGGTACGTGTAAATATTGAGTCAGCTCAGCTCGTTGCACCCGGTGCACTTTGAACCGAAAAATATGGAAAATGCTACATATGGGGAAAACAAAATTATCGCGATGCGGTGTAGTGAAAATGAGTGTTTTCGAGAGGTGCAAGTAGTGCCCTCACGTACAAATACTGGCTGCCATCGCCGCCGTCGCCGCTGTCACGGCAGCAGCAGCAGCAGCAGCAGCAGCAGCAGCAGCAGCAGCAGAGCAGCAGCAGCAGCAGCACGGCGGACGCGGTTTGTTTGTGGAAGCACAAAAAAGCTGTTGCGAAATGTTTAAGATAATCAAGGTTTGGACACCAGCAATCTCTCACAAGAGGTGGCACTCGTTGCAAGCTTCCAAATATGTTGCTTCCCCTCCTTTGCCTACAGTAGGAAACAACGAGAGCGAGTGCCACGCGCAGCAAAGCCTGCTGTAGAGTACGCATGCAGCGTGCGCTTTCGACCACTTGCGATGTCCGCAGCCTGCTGCTACGAACAGCACCGATTCTAATATTGAGAAACATGATTGTGTGTGTACCCAATTTACGACTTGCCTGCTAGAAGCGCAGTCGCTGCCGCCACAGCTGCTGAGGATGGGACTGGATCTCTCATCGTGCGCTTGTAGAGCTTGCCGCGATGGCTGTACGGCGTCGCCTGCCCTGAAGTCCAAGACGCCGGCAAGCGCTGCCTCTCGAAAAGCCAACCGTGAACTCTGCTGTCTTTTCGCCCTGTCTCCCTTCCGCTTTGTGAAGTTGAGGAACAACCGCCACTTGCCAGTGTTCTTCTCTGGATAGCACACGGGCATGGCCGTTTTCTCCCACTGGTCTGTGGCTGCGGGGAAGCGGCTGGAAGCCATGCTGTCGCTCTCTGCACGGTGCTGCGCAACAGCATCGTGTGCTGCTGCTGTGTTTCGTTTTTCAAAAATCCCTAATTCCGTGCCGCAAATCAAAACGTGTCAATTTTTTATTGAGCGACTCTAAAGCCTATATGAATTGGGGGTGATATCTTCCGTTTTGACCGAACGTCGACAATCAGCTGTTTGCTAACACGTGCGTACCCGCCTTGGTTAGGCGATTCGGGGAATATGCCGAACGCGGCTCAATTCTTTTTCCTTGATAAGCTATGGCGTGACGAACGCAAGTTGGTTTTTTGGCTGGACCAGCTTGTAGTCAGCGTTGACTAGCTAATGGCGAAACTGTTTCTTAAAAAGATATACGCTCAGCTCATTAGCACCCGGCTGGATCACTTGGGTTTTTAATGGCTTGGGATTGAGAGCAGACATCTCCGGGGACGGACCCTTTGCCAGACGCTGCCTGAAAAGAACTTAATGGTATTTGGAAAACTGAGTAGCCGGGATTCGAACCCCGCTGACTTGACTAATGGTTTAACGATTGGCGATACAAGCTCCAAGCACAGGTAGGTTCGAATCCCGGCTACTCACTTTTCCAACGACACCGGGAAGTGCTCGCTAGCGCGACCCGGCCAAGGAACTAGATGGAACGGAACGGCGGAACCTTAGGACCTGTTGGGCGTACTAGCGGGACCTCACCGCTGCTGTACGTTGTGGTTGGCGTATGTGACGCAAGACGCTCGGGTGGAGAAACACAGAGTGATAATTATTTCACACATCGGCGTCCAAGCTGTCTTCACCTGACGGTTACAGACTTGGATACACGCCTTCAATACACTGCACCAAACCCTGCAGTAGAATAGAGTCAGTTCTTGCACACAATTCTCCCAACATGTCCTCTCAAGAACTACGTCATGACAGCTCTGATACATGAGACACGAAATTCTCTCAATCTTAATGTCCTCTCGAAACAATACCAGTGTCCTCTCGACAAATGTGCTATCGACGTGAGTGCATTCTCTCGAACCAACTCCTAAATATGTACTCATTGATTGCATCGAAATGTCCTTCTACTTTCCAACGTTTGTTATTCTACAATAATATTCCATGCACCACTCAACCCTTGAGACATAATGTCTGATTTCGGTAATGGGGAGGTGTTTACACTCCAAGCAAGAGAAGGCGGTTCTGGAGGAACTTCACAGCTCCCTGACTTTTAGTCAGGATGTCAGCCTTCTGCAAGTTAGTCTCGATATAATTGACGTCGACGATTTTCTTCTCCTCTAAGTACCGAACGTGGTGATACTTGACGTCGATATGTTTAGTACGGGGCGTGAGTTTGGCGCCCATAGCAAGCGCTATAGCGCCTGTGTTGTCCTCAAACACTACCGTGGGCTGCTCCTGCTTCATGTTCAGCGACTTCAGCAAATTACGAAAGTGGATGACAATAGTGCACGCCTTGGACAGGGCAACGGCTTCAGCCTCGAACGTTGAGATGGCCAGCACCGTTTGCTTCTTGGATATCCAGTCCACTGGGGCACCTGCGAGATAGAGAACGGCACCGGTTGTGGAGTAGCCTTTGTCTTGGTCACCTGCAAAATCAGAGTCCACGTACGCCGTGAGTTCATCTCCGCCGTCGGCGTCTTCGGTGTATGTGATTCCGATAGAGGTCTTTCCTTTTAGATACCGGAGTACCCGCTTCAGCTTTGTCATCGCTCTGGGACCTGGCTTCGCCATACTCTTCGCGGGCACCATCACCGAGTGTGTGATGTCCGGTCTTGAGCCCCTGCTGAGATACAGAAGGCTACCCGTGGCGGACCGGTAGTATTTGGTGTCCTCTGGAGATAAAACCTTCTCCTCCTCGATGCTGATAGGTCCAGGTTCCGCCGGTGTCTTCACCGGGCGCGATTCGGCCATTCCGAACTGGTCGAGCACGGTCTTTGCGTACGTCTCTTGAGAAAGGAATATGGTACCGGCGTCGACGTTCCTCTCAAGCTTCATACCAAGCAGGTGCTGAGCATCCCCCAAGAACACCGTGTTGAACCGTTCCTTCAGCAGATCAACGACCATCATGACCTTCTCCTCGTCCTTCCCCGACAGCAGGATGTCGTCAACGTACACGAGAAGGATAACTCCTTCCGCTTCGAGAATGTAAAGGCNTCCTCTCAAGCTTCATACCAAGCAGGTGCTGAGCATCCCCCAAGAACACTGAGTTGAACCTTCCTTCAGCAGATCAATGACCATCATGACCTTCTCCTCGTCCTTCCCCGACAACAGGATGTCGTCAACGTACACGAGAAGGATAACTCCTTCCGCTTCGAGAATGTAAAGGCAGGGGTCTGGTTTACTCTGTACGAACCCTTTCTCAATCAGGAAGTCGTGAAAGGTGCTGCACCAGCCTTTCGGGGAGAGACGCAATCCGTAGAGCCATGCCTTTAGCCGCCACACCTGCCGTGCTTGTTCTGGAGAGCATTCGAAACCTTTCGGAGGACAAACATAAATCGGGTCTGCGTTAGCGGGGATCCTGGCATGTAGGAACGCTGTCTTGATGTCAGCCTGTTATAGAACAAAGCCATTCTGTGCAGCGACGGCGACTACTAGATGTACCGCCTCCAATGTGGCCACTGATGATGCCTTGTCTTCCCCCGTGTCTTCTTGACGGAAGCCTTGGACCACGATACGACTCTTCAGTCGAGCTAGTTCTCCGTCTGCTGCGTACTTCCGTTTGTATAGGTATCTTGACGGAAGTTTATCACCGTCCGCCGGCCGTTTCACCCAATCGTATACATCGAGTTCCGCGAGCGAACGATTTTCTTCGCGCATACTCCCCCTCCAGTGGTCAGCATCTGGTCCACGTGTTGCGTCGTCGTAGTTGGTCGGGTCGGGAGGCCTGTAACCTTTTTCTCCAGGGTTGCCCGTCCCGACGTTTCCGAGTACACCCCCTATCAGAAGAGCTTGTTCCACCTGCTGATGAGCATCCTCCTCCGAGGTCACCGTAAATAGATTCAACCTTTGCGGCGGTGCAGATGCCCTGGCGCTCCGTCGTGGTTCTGGAACAGATGGTGTCGACTTTGCAGTACTTTGGCCTGCTTCTTCATCGCTATCGTCGTTAGTTTCTTCCTCGTTTGATTCTACCATACCAGGCTCGAGTAGGGATTTGCCCCCGAGGACTTCAGTTGGTGTGCGATTCTTGAGATAGATGGCGGTCTGAAATGCTTCAGCCCACAGCTCGCTGGGAAGGTGCGGTGCGCCCAGCATTAGTTTGCGAGTAGTTCCGATGATGGTGCCAAATCCACGTTCTGCGATGGAGTTCTGCTGTGGAGTGTATGGAGCGCTAGTTTTGACCGTAATTCCGAGGGACTTGCACAGCTCCAGGAATNTCATGGAGCTGTTGCATGCGAAATACACCCTCAACACGGTACTTCTGCTTGAGAGCAACGAACGCATCTCGTCCATCACCATACTCCTCGTCACCGACTGGCCCATGCTGCTGTACCACTTGCGAAGCAGGGCTGGAGTATCCATCCGGGCCATCAGACGTGGCCAGAAGCAGTCTCGTGCACATTTTTCCGTTCTTTTCCTTGAACGTTAGGGCATTTTTCTCGTGTCCCGCGATTTGAGTGTCGGTCGCTCCCGCTGGCAAAGGCGCAGGAGCAATCTCCGCTCCCGACATGACCCTACTCAGTCCAGCTTTGGACATGAGGGACCGAGTCAGCGTGACCCAACCCTCGAATTGGGCCGGATCCCCGCTGAACGGCACATAACCCCTCTGGAGATGGTTCAATGATTGCGCCATGTTGACTCAACGTAGTTCCCCTACCGCGCGAGGCGCATGACCTGTTGGGCGTACTAGCGGGACCTCACCGCTGTTGTACGTTGTGGTTGGCGTATGTGACGCAAGAGGCTCGGGTAGAGAAGCACAGAGTGATCATTATTTCACACATCGGCGTCCAAGATGTCTTTACCTGACGGTTACAGACTTGGATACACGCCTTCACCATACTGCACCAAACCCTGCAGTAGAATAGAGACAGTTCTTGCACACAATTCTCCCAACAGGACCTACCCCGCGAGATGGGAGTATTTCTACGGTACGTATAGGTGGGGTCTTGGGGCCATCCTAGATCGGCTTCACCCACTCCAACTAGTAGTATAGAGGAGAATTTCGGCTCGAGCAGGCGTACGATCTGTATCGGACCGGGCGGTCGCGCCGCCCCGGTTTCACGTTGTTGTCGGAATGTCTCCTCGGGCCACCAGCTCGAATGATAATACATGGCATTTCGGAGACAAATCGCAAACCGTGAGTTTTAGCGCGCAGCTGAGGCGGAGCAGTAAAACGTGATTTGTGAGCGTGAGAGAAAGTAACAGTCCACACAAAGGTAGATCCATGAAAGAGAAGGCAAGAGCAGGTTGATGCTGTCGCACAGCTCCAGACATGCAAAGGCATAAGCCCTTCGACCATGGAGAGACCAACATGTGAACAACAGTGAACGTGCAACCAGCATACCCTGGTATCCAGCGTGATGAAAGGGGGGCACAGCGAGAACACTGTTGTTGGAGATGCCATTATTATTATTTGACATTCGTCGGGGCCTCCTGCGTCAGACGAGGGGGAGCCAAAGACTATGACATAAAATAACCATAGGCAGATCACTAGGGGGGGGGGATGGCAGGGGACGCCGTTGATGCGCGGCCGCTTTTTTTTTTTTTCCGGGCTGCACCCAAACTCCGCCGCCTGTCGCCTGGCACTGAGTACCCCCAGTTCAGATCGGATTGAGCGGAGACCTCCGCACCTGCCGAGGGTGCCGCTGGGCTTGAGCGATGAAGCTACTCCTTGCCCTGCTTTGGGTAGCAGCTTGGGCTGTGAAAGGTGGGTTAGCAAAAGTTTTCGACTGTGCAGACAGCGTGACCCTGCGTTTTGAACTCCTCCAGCAACCGACCCGCGTCTACTGGAGCGCGCCTAGCTTCGCTTTGGGGGTGTACCGTACGCAACGGCTCATAGCGGACCATGCTATGTGCATGTGAGAGTCGAAAGTTTTTTACGGTTTGGCAAACGATGGAGTATTGACCGAATGGCGGCAACTTGAATAAACACAATCCGTGAATCCGTGTACCCTGGTGAGCCCGCTGGACAAAGGCCGCACATTTTTTAAACCCGCGGAGCCGACATCTCACACCCCCTTTACCTGACGAATTGGCACGGCTGTTGTGGCACGGCTGTTGTACTCTATTTCGTGAGCAGACCCCCTAGAAACCTTGTGCACTTAACCTGTCGAAGTATCAATGAAGTTGCTGAAGGATGGTGGTGTATTTCCCCATCATGACCCCAGCAACCGGGGGCAACGTACAGTCCACAAAAGCACAATTTTGCAAAGATGGGTTGGATACCGTCGTTGTCGCACACAGCCTTGGAGGCTGTTAAAAAATCATGTCCGCGCTCTTTTGCGGAGGCGCTGGTGGCAACGTAGTTTCACTTTACTGCTGTGTTGTCTGCGTCCATGTGTCACTTTGCATTTGCGCCTACGCCCTGACTTTTATTCGGTTTCTCGGTTCCCGTGTGCCCGCCAGGTATGGATATGGACACCGCCACTGTCTCGACACCGGCGCGCCAAAGCTTGGGGACTCGTCCTGCGGTGACACCGACACAATCGGCCAAGAAGGATGAAGACGAGAGGCGTAAGCGCCGAACCTCCGGACCGCGCGCGGTCGGCACAGACGCTCAGCAGGCCACACACGACTCCACGAAGGTGCGCCAATCGACCTATTTGTTTTGGGCAGTACTGAGGCCGTACGAGGTTGACGGCACTCTGTTTGGTTTGATATGCGCCGTTTGAAGTCGATGGTCGTCCTCT